TTAGTGAGTGGGAGGGCATGGCGGAAAGAGCAACGTTCATCTATAGAGGCTTTTCGATAGCCGTTTCTTTGGGATGTGGCCCGCGGCAATGTGTGTATGGGCGAATGGGGGCGCGCGCGAACGCCGGGGGTTTTACCGTGAATTCGTGGCGTACCCACGGGAGTTTTCATGCTTTGCGCGCGCGTGCGCTGGTGTTGATGGTGGCGGCAATGGCGCTTCTTGCGCTCGTCTGTAGCGCGGTTCGACTACAGCCGTCCCAAGGTGGGGCTTTGTTTCAGTGGTCCTTACGGCAACGGGTGTGGTTTCAGCCAGCATGCTGCGGCATTGCCTCACCCAACCCCATCCCATCGCGACCGTTTTGCTATCTGCGCTGCCTGCATCATTTTCCCCGTTTGCCCACGTTGCGCTCGTTGCCCGCGTTGCGTGGCAGCGGCGGTGCTGCAGGAGTGCGCGGCGGTGTGGAACATGACCGGTAGCGGGTGGACGGCAGGCGGGGACTGCCTGCTAGCTAATAGTAGCGTCAAGTGCAATGCAGAGGGAATGGTCACGAGCCTGTGAGACACGTACCCGCGTGCGTTGTGTGTTGTGTGTTGTGTTGTGTGTGCTGCGTGCTGTGCCGGCGTGCGTACTGTGATGTGATTTTCTGCTTTGTCTTGGCACCACAACCCATTCTTCCAACTGCCGCCATGCCATCTGCGTCTCCCCTTTCCTCCCCCCTCTCCCCCACCACCGCTTTCTCTCTCACTCTCACTCCGGCCGACAGGCCTTCCCTTCCGCTTCCCACCATGGCCGCAGGTACTTAATAGGCTTAGATCTGAACGGCCCCATCCCCATGAGCATCGCCAACCTCACCGCGCTCACTCTCTTGTGCGTGACGCAATGGCAGCCCCCTCCATGTTCTTTGAGACGTTGCAAAATTCACTGCACTCAATTTCTTGTGCTTGTGCATCCCTCTCTGCGTGTTTCGTGCTTTCCTCTTCTTTCTTCTTGCTTTCCTCTTCTTTCTTCTTGCTTTCCTCTCCCCATCCTCACCAGTAGTTGGTCCGCATGCCTGCACGGATACACAAAGTCACGAGCACATGCATGCACGCACACACGCATTCACACGCGCACTCATGCACGCACACACGCATGCACGCAGACACGCATGCACACACCCACGCATTCACGCACACACTCATGCATGCATGCACTCATGCACGCGCACACTCATGCACGCACACACGCACGCACGCACACGCCCATGCACGCACACGCCCATTCGTGCCCACGCACGCACGCACGCACGCACGCACGCACGCACGCACGCACGCACGCACGCACGCACGCACGCACGTGCTCTGACTTCGCATTAAACTCCCTGACTGAGTCAAGTACGTCAGTATCGCATGGATCTTAGTAAATGAATTCTTTCATCCTCAACCTTTCTTCCCCCTGCCTTCGCCCTGCTTTACTTCTTGGCATCGCATGGCGCTGAATGGGTTTGCATGCTGCCGTGCCGTGCCATGCCGTGCCATGGTGGGGCTTTGCTATGCTGTTTTCCGGCACAACGTAATAATGGTGTGCGTGTGCGTGCATGCATGGGTGAGAATGGCCATGGTGGTTGCATCACAATGCAGCAAATTGGACAGTTCAAATATCTATGGGCCTTTACCCACTGCCTTTTCTCGCCTCACTCGACTCGCCGATCTGTAAGGCCGCCTCTTGTGTGGGAGGGGAGGGGGAGGAGGTGTTTGTGTGTGTGTGTGTGTCTGTGCGCGTGTGTGTGTCTGTGCGTGCGTGCGTGCGTGTGTGTGTGTGTGTGTGTGTGTGTGTGTGTGTGTGTGTGTAAGTCAACTCCCGGAAGGAAAATATATATATAAAACTGGGACTTACTAGAGAATTCTCCGGACTCAATTCGGAGCGTTGGATTCATCTGAAGCCATTCCAGCATTTGAGCAGAGTGCGGTGTCATAAGTGGCATTTGGCCCAGATGCACTCGGGAATGGCGTGGATGGGGTTCGCGAGGGGGGGTATGGTTGGTGAGTGTTAGGGGGGTATGAGTGGTGGGAACGAGTGGGGAACGTGCGGGTGGGATGGATGGAGTTGTGAGGGTGGGATGGATGGTGGTGGTTGTGAGGGTTGCAGGTTGGGGGCGGTGAGAGTGTGGGCGGAAAGGGGGGGTATTGTGAGGCTCTTCAAATGTCAAATCAAGCCAAATGCTTGGGCACCAATACCATCTCAACTCGAATCAAAGGGCCAAAACTCGTATGCATGCAGGTCCTCGCATGCACACCCGCATTCCACTCCTTTCTTTTGCAAGCGCACACCCACATCTTTTCACTGTATGACACACTTCCAAACGGTGTTCTTTACACCCAATCTGCCCCTGCTCTCCCCCTCTTCCTCACACCAGATTTCCTTTCTCAAAGTCTCCCCGTTCCTTTGCCTCTCCTCTCTCTCGTCATTCTCCCCCCCACCCCCACCTCCGGACTTGTCTCCCTCTTTGTCGCATCTCTCTCAATGGCAGCACCCTGCATTTAAACAACTTGACCGGACCCATTTCCTTCCTGCAACACTTCAGCCTTCTCACCTACCTGTGATCCCTCCTCCCCCTCCCCCATGCGCTCGCCCTCGCCCTGCTAATCTTCCTCCCTTTTGCCTGCGCTTTGCTTCCGCCCATGCACCTTTGCTCACTCCTTCTTCCTTTCCTGTACCTCTCCCTTTGGGTGTGTGCTGTGCTGTTCGTTCCCCTTCATTCGCTGCACGTTTATTAGAGAAAGAGAGACGCTGCTCCCAGTGAGCAATGCATTGTAAAGAGCAATAGAGTGGAGGGAGGGGAAGTGCAGTGCAGTGCAGTACAGTGCAGTGCAGTGCAGTGCAGTGCAGTGCAGTGCAGTGCAGTGCAGTGCAGTGCAGTGCAGTGCAATACAGTGCAGTGCAGTGCAGTGCAGTGCAGTGAGTGCAGTTTAGTGCAGTGCAGTGCAGTGCAGTGCAGGGCAGGGCAGGGCAGGCAGAGAGGATGATGGTGGAAATTCAGAGCTTGTGACTTGCTTCTCAAGGCACTCTACTCTTCCACTCCAGGTGATCACACTTGCTACAGATGCATGTCTGATACAACCTCGATATTTCTGCTCTCTATCTTCTGCACACTGCCCCCTGCACACTGCCCCCTGCCCTCTGCCCCCTGCCGCCTTCCCTCTACCCTCTGCCCACTGCCCTCCGCCTTGCATGTAGTGACCTCTCCGAGAATCACTTTTATGGGCCCATCCCCTCTTCCATCTCACGACTCTCTCTTCTTACACAATTGTGAGCACCTCTCTCTCTCCAATCCCCAGGCTTGATTCATCAGCCTATGGCATGCATGTCATATGTCACATGCCACATGCCACATGCCACATGTCACATGCCACATGCCACATGGCACATGCCACATGGCACACGCCACATGCCACATGCCACGTGTTTCGTGCCACATGGCACATGCCACATGCCACCCACATGCCACATGCCAGATGGCAGATGGCATATGTCACATGCCACATGGCACATGGAACATGCCACATGCCACATGCCACATGGCACATGGCACATGGCACATGCCACATCACATACCACACGTTACATGTCTTCTCCCAACCATGTCACGTGTCACATGACAGACACCTCGGATCAACCAAGATTTCAGGACCCATTCCCTCCACCATCTCAGCACTCCATAAACTCGGAGCTCTGTAAGATCTGCATGGGTGCTGCTGTGCATGGGTGCTGCTGCGCATGGGTGCTGCTGTGCATGGGTGCTGCTGTGCATGGGTGCTGCTGTGCATGGGTGCTGCTGTGCATGGGTGCTGCTGTGCATGGGTGCTGCTGTGCATGGGTGCTGCTGTGCATGGGTGCTGCTAAGGATTGGGGTTGCCATGCATGCATCCATGCAGTCAACAGCACGAGCGCGTCAGCGATCCGCTATCCCATGCCTTCCGCATTCACTCCATACCACATGCACTCTACCCTGGCCATTCTCACATACCCTCCCAATTCTCTCAAATGGTCCGTTGTATTAATTCAGCAGGGGTACAGATATGCAGTTCTATCCATGATAACCTCGATCCCATAAGCCCATCAACTCACCCCTCATTCACAAATGTCTTTTTGTGTCTTTTCCATGGACCCACACCATCCCCTCCTCTCTCTATGCTCCGCACCCCTCACGGCGGGCCATCAGGATGCTATCCGACACAGCCATTTCAGGCTCCATCCCCTCTACCATCTCGGGTCTCTCCTCCCTCACCTTTTTGTCAGTTCCATCCCTCTCTCGGGTCCCTGCCAAACTGATTTGTATTGTGCCTAATCCTGCCTTTAGGTTCTGCTCTGCCATAACGACGACCGGAAATAAAAATATGGCTCACTGGAGTGATTGCCCTTCATTGGAGGCCTTTCCACCAATTGCTTATCGTGCTTTGTTGTCTGCCCTTGTTGGGATGACGAACCGTAGCAAGGAACCTCCTGTGGATGAATACCACACTACGTCTACTTGGCAATGTACTCACTTCGCATCCTGTCATCCTGCCCACGTGGCAATTCGCTGCATTCCAGCGAAGCGGCCAACACTCTCCTCAGTGGCTCCATCCCCAATACTATTGGTCATCTGGTCAATCTCCACTATGTGTATGTGGGGTTGGGGGGGGGGGGGGGTTGTGAGCATGCGAGGGGTGTCACTGTCACACACGCATGCATGCACACCGTGCACGCGCTCATGATCAACATTTGAAATCTTCGAAATCACACACTAATTTTCACAGCTTGTGTCGTGATCCTTACTAGGCATGATGAACCCTTGGGTGCGTGTACCTTGGTCCGGGCCGGCCCGACCCAAGCCGGCCCCGGCCCGGCCCGACCGGACCCCGGCTCGCATATGGTTGCATGGCCGAGTGCCGGTTTTTGCCAGTCCGGCCGACAAGAGGGGCGGCCCGGGCTGGCCACGGCCAGTCCTGGCCACCTCTTCCTACCTACTCCTCCCGTCTCTATGCCCTGTTCCCTCTTTCACTCGCCCCGCAACCGCCCTGTCCCAGGGACATCAGCAACACCAACGTGTCTGGGTCGCTGCCTGCCTCCCTTGGTGCTCTCCCCAACTTCACTGAAATGTTGGTTCCCTCCACTGCACCTCGCCCCCCACTGCACCTCGCACCCCACTGCACCTCGCCCTCCACTGCACCTCGCACCCCACTGCACCTCGCCCCCCACTGCACCTCGCCCCCCACTGCACCTCGCCCCCCACTGCACCTCGCCCCCCACTGCACCTCACCCCCCACTGCACCTCGCCCCCCACTGCACCTCACCCCCCACTGCACCTCGCCCCCCACTGCACCTCACCCCCCACTGCACCTCGCCCCCCACTGCACCTCACCCCCCACTGCACCTCACCCCCCACTGCACCTCACCCCCCACTGCACCCCCCACTGCACCTCACCCCCCACTGCACCTCACCCCCCACTGCACCTCACCCCCCACTGCACCTCACCCCCCACTGCACCTCACCCCCCACTGCACCTCTGTCGGAGAACCTTCCTTCTCCCAGCCCATGCTCTGCTCCTCGCACCTACTCTTCTCCCTGCTCCTGCTCTTCTTCCTGCACCTGCTCTTCTCCTGCTGTCTCTCTGCTTCCTCCCTTCTCCGTGTTGCAAAGCCTCACTCAACCGCTGCCCCCTCCTGTGCTCGTGCTCTAGCCGCTTGAGCTCGCGTCACAGGACCCTCTTGGAGATGCCTCACTCGTACCACTGCCCCCTCCTCTGTTTCCTCCCATGGCCTGCCCTCTCCTCCCGGCACTCATCCTCCCTCCCTTCTTCCCTCTGCCCTGTTCCCGTGATACCTTCCCTTCTCTGCCTCAGCCACCACATGCCCCCTCCAGAGCTCGTGCTCGGGTCTCCCGTGCACGAGGCACTGGACACTCTTGCTGAGGCCGGGGTACTTCTCACCACTGCAGTATTGGTGGTCCCCTGTCTTCTCTCTTCGCCCACTCTCTGACACAGCACTCCCGCCCCCTCAGATTCGTCGCCCTCCTTCTCTGTGTGCCCAGCACCACTTCCTGTTCCAGAGTATCCTTCTGTCCCCCCGAGGGGTAGACTTCCTGTCTCACTCCTTCTGCCGCCCTTGTGCTTGGTGCAGCCCTGCTGCAGCCGCTCCTCTGGCCTGTGTGCATCTCTCAGCTGCACTGTCTGTAAGTTCTCCCGTGCTGCCGGCAGTCCTTCCTTCAGGTACCTTGCCCTGGTTTCTACCAATGCCACGCCATTCTCCACCCCTCCTGTTCCCACTGTCTGTGTCACGAGTGTGACCTCCCTCCCCTGCCCGCTCATTGGCCCCCCCCCCACCGTCCACTTAGATCCTTCCTTTGCAGTCCACCCTGCCCATCCTCCCTCCTCATCCTCCACTCCCGCCTCCGCTGCTGCTGCTACACACTCAGGTGCCCCTACTTTCTCTTCCTTCCCTTCCTCTTCTTCTGCTGCTGCTCCACACGCCTGTGTCTCCAAATTCTCTTCTTTCCCTTCCTTTTCTGCTGCTGCTGCTGCACACGCCTGTGTCCCCAACGTCTCTTCCTTCCTTTCCTCTTCTGCTGCTGCCGCTGCACACGCCTGTGCCCCAACTTCTCTCCTTCCCTTCCTCTTCTGCTGCTGCTACTACACACGCCTGTGCCCCCCAAATTCTCGTCTTTCCCTTCCTCTTCTGCTGCTGCTACTGCACACGCCTGTGCCCCCAACCTCGCTTCTTTCCCTTCCTCTTCTGGTGCTGCTACTGCACACGCCTGTGCCCCCCAACTTCTCTTCTTTCCTTTCCTCTTCCGTTTCCGCTGCTGCTGCTGCGCACGCCTGTGCTCTCTCCTTCTCTTCCCTCCCTGCCGCTTCTGCTACTTCTGGTTTGCACGCCTGTGCCCCCACCTTCACTGCCCCGCTTTCCGCTTCCGCTACTGCTGTCATGCACGCCTGTGCCCCCACCTTCACTGCCCCGCTTTCCGCTTCTGCTACTGCTGTCATGCCCGCCTGTGCCCCCACCTTCACTACCCCGCTTTCCACTTCCTCTACTGCTGTCATGCCCGCCTGTGCCCCCACCTTCACTGCCCCGCTTTCCACTTCCGCTACTGATGTCATGCACGCCTGTGCCCCCACCTTCACTGCCCCGCTTTCCGCTTCCGCTACTGCTGTCATGCCCGCCTGTGCCCCCACCTTCCCTTCCCTCCCTTCCGCTTCTGCTGCCACTGGTACACCCGACCATGCCCCCACCTTCTCGTTCTTCCCTCCCGCTTCCGCCGCTGCTAATGCACACGCTTCTGCCCCCACCTGCTCGTCCCGCTCCTCCGCTCCCGCTGCTGCTGGCACGCACGCTTCTGCCCCCACCTGCTCATCCCGCTCCTTCGCTCCTGCTGCTGCTGGGACGCACTCTTCTGCCCCCACCTGCTCATCCCGCTCCTTCGCTCCTGCTGCTGCTGGTACGCACGCTTCTGCCCCCACCTGCTCATCCCGCTCCTCCGCTCCCGCTGCTGCTGGTACGTACGCTTCTGACCCCACCTGCTCATCCCGCTCCTCCGCTCCCGCTGCTGCTGGTACGCACGCTCCTGCCCCCGCCTGCTCGTCCTGCTCCTCTGCTCCCGCTGCTGCTGGTGTTACTGACATACACGCCCATGCCCCCACCTTACTCACTAGCTCCCTTCGTATGTCCCTGCCCCCACTGCGCAGCCCCATGTCTGCATGGCCACGCAGCACCGCACCGGAGTGTTCTGGCTCCTGCCCCTCTTCCTCCTCCGCGTACAACCCCGCTTGCCCCTGAGTTCTTTCTCCCAGTGCCTGCAGTTGGGCTCGTAACTGTTCGATCTGTTCCTCGATCTCCTTGGGTGATCTCCTTGCATCCCTTCCTTTCTCATAGCAGTTTCTTGCCCGATTCCCACACACCTCACAGCTCGGTGCATCTGGGCAGTCCCTCCGTCGGTGCCCAGGCTTTCCGCACACATCACAGTTCTTGCACTCCCTCCTGATATGCCCCTCCTGCCCGCACCTGTGGCACGTCCGTGTTTCTGCTCTCCTCTCCTGCCACTGCTCCTCCCCACCCCCGTCCTCGGTTATCATCGCTGCAGCCCACCTGGGCCGCCCTTTCTCTAACACCCTCGGCAGGTACGCCTCATACCGCCTCTGCGCCAGCTCCACTCTCTCTGCCAACTCAAACACCTCCTCCAGCGTTGCTTCAGCTCCCAACTCATACACTCTCATTCTCAGCCCGCCGCTCAATCCCTCATCCAGACCCCCCAGGAACTTGCTTATAAGCATGCTGCCATCTGTGCACACCACGTCTTCCGCCAGATCCGTCAACCTACCGTAGTAGGTGAGCAGTGACTCGGCCCTCCCTCGCTGGAATTCCTGAAATTCTCTCACCCTCTCCGCCGTGTGCCCTGGAAACTGCTTCCGCAGCCGCTCTAGGAACAGAGTGGTTGGGTCCTCATCCTCCTCCTCTGCCCTCCTCAGCCATTCCTTCATCTTCATACGATATAGCGTCTCAGCTTCGCCTCCCAGCGTGTTCGGTAGGCTCAAGAAAAACTCTATCGGGTCCATCCCACTCCTGTCGCAGCGGTACTTCACATTACCGATTTGCATCAGGTAATTCTTCAGGTTTGTGTCTGACCCTGCTCCCCCCGTAAAGCGCACTGGCACCTCCACCTGAGGTGGGGCCTGCGCACTCCACCTCCCTGTCTCCCAAGTCCCTGAGCTCTCATTCCTCCTGCTACTCTCTCCTCTCCTCTCCCTCAACTCTCTGCTTCTTGACTCTGTCCCATACAGCACTCGACCACTTCCTTCCCTGGCTGCCCTTGCCCCCGTAGCGCCTACCCATGACTGCTGCCGCCTTCTCCGCCACGTCGGACCTATGCTCCTTCCCCCCTCTCTCTCTTGAGCCTCCCCATATCTCTCCGATCCCCACCCTGGTCTCTCCCTCTTCTCCGGGGAATGTTCTTTCCAACGCCCCTCCCTTCGGCCCGACCTGTGGCGCGTAGGTCCGTCACACTCTCCTTCGTCCTCACTCTCCGTTTCATGCGCAAGCATCATTTCCCGTCGCCTACTCTGCTTCTCTTCACCCCTTTTCCTTGTTCCCCTGCTGCCCGAGCTTGCCCCATACAGCGCCCGTTCTGTCCCCTCTCTGGCCGCTCTGGCTCCTTCGGATCCTCCTCCTGATTGCCATCGCCCCCTTGGGCCCCTTGTACTCGGACTCCTTCCTCGCTCTCTCTCGTAAGCCGCTCTCCGCTTCTCTGCTCCGTCCCACCGCCTTTCCTTCCCATCATGCGAGTGCTCCTGATACCGCCTTTCTCGCTCCACATCTTCCCGCCGCCGTCGGTTCCCTCTCCCCCTTTCTTCTGCCCTTGTTGCGCCCAGCGATCGTCGTGCACCCTCCCTGATGCGTCCCTCCTCACGCCCCCCTCCTCTCTCTGGTGAGCACCACCCATCTCTTTCCTCACCATCCCCTCGCTCCCCGTCCGGACCTGCTCGTCTGCCCCGTTCTTCCTCTGGCTTACTCTCCCGTCGCCCACGTTGCTCCTCACCTCTCTCTCTCTGTCTCTCTCTCCCCCAAACAGCAGGCCCCCGTTGACCTGCCAGTCTCCCTCGCTCATACTGCTCCCTCCGCACCTCTGGCGATCGCCGCGCGGCCATCGCCACGCGTCTCCTCCCACGTCCTCGCAGCTCAGGCGAGCTGTACCGTCCCGTTGGCGCATGGTTTTTCCTGCTGTCCTCCCGAAGATCGTCCGGCGAGCGACTTGCCGCTGCGGTTCCGCGGCGCCTCGCATCTCCCTCGAGCACCTCCTCTGGCGAACGATCTGCCGCCATGTTCCCTTGGCGCCTCCCGCCACTCCCGCGCATCCGTTCTGGCGAGCTGTCTGCATCCGCTCTCCCGCGGCGCCTTGCGCTGCCACCTCGCATTTCGTCTGCCGAGCGACCTGCATCCTTGCCTCCGCAGTGCCTCACGCTGTTTCCACCTATTTCGTCCACCGTACCATCTGCATCCGCGCCCCCGCGCCCTTCGTCTGCCAACCCGTCTGCATTCGCGCCCCCGCGGTGCCTCGCGCCCTCTTCACACCCTTCGTCTGCCAATCCGTTTGCATCCGTGCTCCCGCAGCGCCTCACGCTTCCCCTGCGCATGTCTTCCGGCGAACGCCCTGTCGTCATGTTCCCGTGACGCTTCGCGCCGCCTCCGCGCATCCTTACCGGCGAGCAATTTCCTCCCGCATCCTTGCTCTCTCCGTCGCGCCCTTCTTCCGCCACTTCCTCCCTCTCACCATCCCGCGCCATCGGGATGGCGCCGTCTGCTTCTTCCGCGCCGTCTGCTTCTCCCGCGCCGTCTGCTCCTTCCGCGCCGTCCGCTTCTTCCGCGCCGTCTGCTTCTTCCGCGCCGTCTGCTTCTTCCGCGCCGTCTGCTTCTTCCGCGCCGTCTGCTCCTTCCGCGCCGTCCGCTTCTTCCGCGCCGTCTGCTTCTTCCGCGCCGTCTGCTTCTTCCGCGCAGTCTGCTTCTTCCGCGCCGTCTGCTTCTTCCGCGCCGTCTGCTTCTTCCGCGCCGTCAGCCTCGCTTGCCGAATCGGACGAATCTACCCCGTCCACACCGTCGCGACGCCTTACACCCGTTCCGCGCTGGCCTCCTGCCAGAATCCGCGGGTCACTGCCCATCCTGGGCTCCGACCTGACACCTTCAGCTCGCCCACCGACGGGCGTCACCAAATCCGCGCCGTACGCCGCCCTCCGTGGCGAACGCGCAAGTGATCTCCCATGCTCCCGTGAGCGCATCCTCCGCGACGGCAAGATTTCCCGTCGCGAGTCTGTCCGCTGCCAGCGCAGCTCGTGGCAGTCCATTCTATGCTATTTGCTCGAACCGCTCGATGGGCTTTCGTGCTGTTATGAACGAGTTTCCTCCCTCACCCCGTAGGTCCTCCCCTAGTGGCGTGCCACCGGATGCTAGATCAGAGGTAACAGCTTTCCACTAATATGAGAGAATAACAGCACGAAAGCATCGAGGGGTTGGCTGTGACTGCCCTTACCCAACCCCAAGCTGCACATTCCCAAAAGTGCGGCTCGGGGTTGGGACTGCTTGGCTTCCTATTTCGCCCTTCGGTGCCTTTTCCCTCGCAATCCCAACCGCTCTCATCCAATTTCCCCCTTTCTACACCCCTCCCTAACAGTAACTTTCCTACGTTCTACACCTACAACTGATTCCTAACTAATACTCTTATAACTAGCTAATGTTCCCATAACAGCCACTACAAGTCCCCCTTACACCATCATCCTACTGTTATTGCATATGCATTAGGTGCATATGCGGTGACACCTCACCCCCCACTGCACCTCACCCCCCACTGCACCTCACCCCCCACTGCACCTCACCCCCCACTGCACCTCACCCCCCACTGCACCTCACCCCCCACTGCACCTCACCCCCCACTGCACCTCACCCCCCACTGCACCTCACCCCCCACTGCACCTCACCCCCCACTGCACCTCACCCCCCACTGCACCTCACCCCCCACTGCACCTCACCCCCCACTGCACCTCACCCCCCACTGCACCTCACCCCCCACTGCACCTCACCCCCCACTGCACCTCACCCCCCACTGCACCTCACCCCCCACTGCACCTCACCCCCCACTGCACCTCACCCCCCACTGCACCTCACCCCCCACTGCACCTCACCCTGCACTGCACCATGCGCCATTCTTAGAGTTTTGTTTCTGTGTGTATGTGTGTGTGTTTCTTTCCATTCCATTTCACCATCAACAAGGGATAGTTTGAATTGCAAGAGAATACGTTTCATAACGAATCAACAAACAAATAAGAAGCAGCACCATTGCCTACACATTTTTTCGCCACTCGCCTTGCCCTTTTCCTTGCCGCAACACCCCCCCAAGCCCCCCCTTGCCCTTTTCCTTGCCGCAACACCCCCCCAAGCCCCCCCTTGCCCTTTTCCTTGCCGCAACACCCCCCCAAGCCCCCCCTTGCCCTTTCCAGAATCACCTCTCCAGGGGTGACATGCGGCAGGGCTGGCAGCAGCTGTGAGATTCAGCAGAACGCCTCTTCCTTCTTCTGCAAGACTCTCTGCTTTGACTTCTGTGCCTCGTGCATCCCACTCAACGGTGAAAATCTGCTTGTTTCCATACTTCTGCTCGCATACATGACTCCTCTCATAGTTCAAGTAGGAGGACACTTCACTTCATGTGCCTTGGTGCGAGTGATATCTTACTGTCGTCATGCCACCCAAACCCTAACCTTAAACCCGAAACCTTACTGTCATCATGCCACCGTCATCTGGTCATTTGACGATCATCATCGGGGTTTAGCTCGTCAGAGCAACAGCTGCTCCCTTCCTCCACAATCCCTACACACCCCACTTTTTTCTCAGGCGCCTCTCAAATAGACTCCACACCGCACTTCCTTTCCTCCCCCTCTCTCTCCCCACAGGCCAACACCGCCACCCTCCTCCCCCTCCTCCCCTCTCACCTCCTCTCCCTCCCAGCCTCACTCTCATGAGTCCCCAACCTCCTCCTCTGTCCTCTCTTCTTGCCGTCTCCGCGCCACTCGCCCCTCCTCCTGCTCCTCCACCCGCCACCGGTTTGCCAACTGCTGCAATCGTGGGAATATCTGTGGGAGCGTTCTGTCTTCTTCTGGCTGCTGTTGTTGCTGCTGTCGTGGTTGCTGGGTGTGTGAGGGAGGAACTCCACGGGTCGAAACTACAGCCCCTAGCTACCTCAGGTAAGAGCAAGCCCAGTACTGTGAAACGACTCTCACAAGTACATAGCAAAGCACTAAAAGGATGCGTGCCACTTGTGGTTGCTCAGCCGTGGAAGGGTGTGGTCTGGCGGTCTTTTGTTCTTCCTTTTCTCCTTGTAACATAACATTCGCACCCGGTCCGTCACAGCTGTCTCTCTTTGTCGTCATCTGTGCCATCTTATTTCCTCGTTCGATGCCTGTCGTTGCGGTTGTCATTGCAGCCAAACACTGCCGCATTTGCGTCTACTGCTTCTGGCAGCCACGATCATCGTTCTCCCTTCTTACAGCCACTTACCCTGATGCTAGCGTCCCATCTCACCATCATCTCACAATCATCTCACCAACATCTCACCATCATCTCACTATCATCTCACCATCATCTCACTATCATCTCACCATCATCTCACTATCATCTCACCATCATCTCACCATCATCTCACCATCATCTCACCATCATCTCACCATCATCTCACCATCATCTCACCATCATCTCACTATCATCTCACCATCATCTCACTATCATCTCACATCATCTCACCATCATCTCACCATCATCTCACCATCATCTCACCATCATCTCACCATCATCTCACCATCATCATCACAAAAATCAACTATCTGAATACTATACATGATGTGTGTTTGAAGACTTTGTTCGAATGTTTTCAAAATGTAGGGGTTCAAACTTTTTTAGAAGAAAGTATCGAACTTTTTTCAAATGATGTGTCAGATGATTTTCGTATGATTGGCAGGTTCTGAAATGGTTCTGAATACATGCGAGGGAAGTTCTATTGGGGTTTTGGAAACCTTGTTATGGACATGTTGGCGACACCTATTGACATTTATGCGGTGTTAAATTGGTGCTTTGCTGTGTTTTGTTACATGTTTGAATTGGATTTTGACATAGTTTAGCAGAGTGTCAATGCCTGTAAATTATACAGTTGGAAAAGGGCATCATGTATGTTTTTTTACCTTGTACACAGCCATAATTACACCTTGCACAAGGTTCGATAATGCCTCGACCCAACACCAAACATCCTTTTCCATGGATCCCACCGACATACGATGTGTGCTCGCAAAAATCAGAAAAATAGGAATTAAAAACGCTACAACATTCCTTTTGCTTCATATCCCTGCATCTAGTCTCCTATTGTCACATTGTCACTGCCTTCTACTGGTAATCTGACTTGCTGCTGCAATCCCCTACTCGTCTCCTATCGCACTAGTTGGCCTGGAGTTCCTAACTGCTGTGACCTATGCTGCCCCTTCTTCGCTTTCCCAAACGCTCTGTGTCTACTCTACTCCCCTGGCTGCTGTGACTGCTCTTCTTCCCACTGTTGTGACTGCTCTTCTTCCCCCGCTGCTTCCTCAACTTTGCTCCCCACCTGTTGTGACTACTAAGCTTGACCTGCTGCTGTGATTCTTCGCCTCTCCCACTGAATACATACTCTTCTTCTCCCACTGCTGCCCCTTCTTCGCTCCCCCCCTTGTTGTGACTTCTCTGTTCCCTCCTTGCTGCCCCTTCTCCGCTCCCCACACTGCGGAGACCTTTGCTCCCCAGCTGCTGCCCTTTCTATTCGTCCCCCACTGCTCAGTGACTACTCTACTCCCCTGGCTGTTGTTTATTTGGAGCTCCCCCCACTGTTGTGACTACTCTCCTTCCCCGCTGCTGCCCCTTCTTTGCTCCCCCCTATTGTAACTACTCTGCTTGACAAGCTGCTGCCACTCCTCTGCTCCCCCCACTGCTGCCCCTTCTCCACTCCCCCCACTGCTGTGATTACTCTGCTCCCCCTGCTGCCCCTTCTCCGCTTCCCCAAATGCTCTGTGTCTACTCTGTCAACATATATTTTATATGTTTAGTTTTTGTTAGTCTAGGTGTACCATTTCATATTCCTAGGGTTAGCTATATCCTCTTGTATCTCGTTTCCCTTAGTCAATCTTTTCACCCGTTCTAGTCTCGACATGGTATAGAGCTAGTCGACCCTATGGGCCCACCGCCCCGTGCCCCGACCTAGGAACGTAGCCACTTAATACCCGAAGCGCCCTGCTACCCCCCCCTTAGCTCGCGCGTCACCCGTAGTGCCCTGAGCGCGTCATCCGTTTAGCCCAGAGCGTCACCCGTTTTTTTTTTCACCCGCGCCTCACCCGTTTTCTGCCCCGTGCGTAGCTCGCCAGCCCGCTAGCGCGCAGCAGGCCCATGCGCACGTGCAGTCGTAGCCGCACATGCGACCGCGCGCACGCGCAGCATTAGCCGCACGCACGTGCAGCATTAGCCGTACGCACGCGCGGCATTAGGAGCACGCACGCGCGGCATTAGCAGCATGCACGCGCGGCCATAGCTGCACGCACGCGCAGCAATAGCCGCACGCACGCACAGCCCGCCAGCTGCGGTACCGTCTCACCCGTCCCCGCTGACCCACCTGGTGCCCGCTGTACCACCCGTCCCAGCCGCCCCACCAGTTACTCTCCCCCGCCCAGAACCGTACAGCACCGCGTAGAAACGCACAGAACCGTGCGACACCGCCCAGAACCTTACCTGCTGACCCATCCGCACCAGCCAGAGCTGCTACGCCACCCCGTACTCTCCACCGCACTGAACCGTGCAGAACCGCGCAGAACCGGGCAGAACCGCACTGAACCGTGCAGAACCGCGCAGAACCGGGCAGAACCGCACAGAACTGCGCAGAACAGCACAGAATCGTGCGGCGCCGCCCAGAACCTTACCTGCTGACCCACCCACACTAGCCAGAGCTGCTACCCCACCCGGTACTCTCCCTCGCACAGAACCGTGCAGCACCGCACTGAACAGGGCAGAACTGCACAGAACCACGCAGCACCGCACAGAACTGCACCCACTGCCCCACCTGTACCAGCCAGAGCTGCTGCCCCACCCGTTCCCGTCACCACAC